TCGGAGGACGATGTGGTCCACGTTCATCATACCGAGACGATCCCCCCGAGGGATCATCCCCTTAATCAAAGCTCTACTAATCCTCTCAGCATTAATAAAGTCCCCCTCTTGGAAATTCCACATAGGGCAGAACACTCGTGTGAGGAGTTCCCCCTCTTCGGTTTGCTCCGATGAAGATGGTGGGGCAAACGAAGGCCCGGTCGTAGGCCTCCTTATTGAAGGCCCCCTCGGAGCAACAGGGGGCTCCTTCCTTCACTCACTGCCCTCAGTCAGGGCAGTCTTTGTGTGCTAACCTCTTCCCCAAAGGGATGAGGCACCTCGGCCATTCTCTTCTTGTCGGTCTCCTTCGGCCAAGCCCCTTCAGCCAGTCTCTTCCCTCGGTCACCCCCTTTATCAGCGAGGGCTTGAGGCCGAAACGTCCTCTTGACAAGTGCGGATCCCCTCTCAACTGGCACGGGCATCCCTCAGCAAGCCTCCTCGACATTTGCCCTTCTAACATCCCCTCGGCCGAGGCCTTCTTCTTGGATAAAACACTCTCCAACAACATTCTCTTCACGTCCAACGACATCTCTACAAAAAGGATAGAAGCCAGCACCTCCAAGTAAAGTGAAAGCCAACAATAGGACTTCTCCTACTGAGGGGAGTGGAACTGAGCCTTGGACTTCTCAGTGAAAGCCAACGTGTCCCCAACACGAGTAGGTGGGATACCGCGGTGGCTTCATCGTCCTGAAGTAAAGGCTTGGACTTCTTGGCTATTAGGTGCATCTCCCCCCAACCTGACCTAAACGACCAACCCTCGGGACAGGAAATGAAGAAGAACTTGTTTTTCCAGTTGTGGACAAACAAGGGGTTGTTTATGGATTGGCCTTTTCGTGAGTGGAAGTAATATAAGTCGGCCTCAATATCATGCAACCTTGGCACGAACATAACACCAAATAACTTTGGGGTCAGGTCCACATCTCGAAGATGAGCCACCACTAGCATGGCAATAATAATCCTAAGGGCGTTAGGGGCTAACTGGATAATAGTTACCCCATACCACCTTAGTAGCTCGGAGACCAGAGGATAGAGGGGAAACCTGATCCCGAACTCTAGGAAATGCTAATAGACACAAATTTACCCCTCCTCTGGCATCCACGGTTGATCACTAGTGTCAGGAACCCTAAGTCTGTAGGACCGATAAGAGCCCACTCCCAAGAGGTCGGGAAGCTCATAGCATTCAGGGCTGGAATCGGAATAAGACATGATGAAGTATTTACCTAGGCGAGGACGAAGGCTAGAAAGTTCTAAGCATAGCAAATAAGTCGAAGACTCTAGGAAGCAAAAGTCTCTTGATGGCAAGGGCACTCGAAAGCAAATGGCGAGGGAAAAACACGACTAAGGCCCCTATTTAAAGGAAAATGGATGGCCCAAATCAGTGGATCCAACGACGTCGTTCATTGACCGACACGCTTCGCTCTCCTCAGGAAGACGAAACGACACCGAGCAAACCGATCGATCCTCTTGCCGCAACTTGCTAGTTTGCCCAACTATGCTGACCTAGTGAACGCACAACCTGGCTCACCTGGATCCCATCTCCCCTTTGATCACGACACTACAACCCATCGTGAACAGGCCTTGACTCATCATTTCAGAGACCCGTGTCTCACACGGCCCAAATCTGGCATCGAGACCCGCCTCCTCCACGATTCATGGGCCAACAATGGCGAGTTCCACCCTGTAAACAATTAAGTCACCAGCTCGGGCACCCAAGTGCCCCGCTCTCGGCACCCACGACCAAAGCCGAGGCCTCCACAGACTTGCCTCCACACCAGCACGGAAACAGGGCAGGGGACAAGGTCTCCCTTGTCCACCTATGGCAATGACCTCGAAGCCGAGGCCAAGGCCTCCCAGTAGAAGGAGCCTCTATAGCATCCCTTAGAGAAGTGAATGAAGATCAAACCGACGCCACCGCAGGCCACGTCATTCTCATCCTCAAAAAACAAGGTTGAGGCCCTTACCTAGAAGGCCCAATGGCGCCTCCCACAGCACAACTGGCACACTCCCTTCGGTCGAAGCCGAGGCCCTCAGCTCAGGCCTCCACCACGACCTCGGGAGTGGGGGGCAAATAATGTAGGCGTATCTGGCTGCGCCTAATGAAAGGGCAGTACGTGTTAGGCGATAGCCTCCAAAGCAGACCCAATCAGGGCGCGGGCGGAACAAAGCTCAGTGCGTATTTTGGAACCAATGGTGCGACGTCACTTAGCGACCTCAGATGATCGTGCTCTTCGCGTACGGACCACATCCAGACCATCCGAGCTTACCTACCTCTTGGCTGCCTCAAGTATAAATAGAAGGTACCCCCCTCAAGGTATGGGATTGGAACTGAGACTCTCTAGATAGTAGTTGAGAATTCTTGTGGCCTCGTCTGAGTGCTCACACCTCGGACCTCGTCCACCTCATACCTTTCATACTAACTTGGGCGTCGGAGTCTTCACCTTGGGCATTGACCTGAGGCCTCTAACGCCCACCTCAGACAACTAGTTTTGACAACAAAAATTATAGGCAAAAAATTGAGTGTGTGAGGTCCATTAAGCAGTATCATACGTGTTGTCATTCGAACATGTGGTAGAACTCAACAATTATTCAACTGGAATGGTTGATGTGAAACCAGTTGCCTGGACGGTTGACCCAAAGGTGATGGTTGATGCGCGTTGGTAGTAACACTCTAGAGAGGGTCCTCCTCAGCAATCAAAGAGGCCATGGGCTACAAAGAATAAGGTGGTTGATGTGAATTTTGAGGAGGTGCCTTCATAGCGCAATCGTTTGCAATCGACTCCTCGGAGGAGTCTTGAGGGGCAAGCCATGTTTGAAGGGAGAGAAGAGGTTGGTGTCTACTCATCGACTTGGAATGTCCATCCTAATGACAGCTTAGAAACGAAGGGTGTGGCTAAATAGCTTGCTTGGGGCATTATGTTTCCGAAGATCCAAAGGGAGGTCGATAGCCACACAACCAGGTTTTTGGAGAATTTGGCCATGCACTAGACCATGGCCGTGAGTTTTCTTTTTTGTTTTTTTTTTTTTGACATCTTACTTTTTGCAAGCTATATGCTTAGTTGTCAGTCTAGTTGACCACATGCGAGGCGAGAACTGAGTGGCCGAGGCGAGAGAGGTCAAGAACATGTAGATGAAGGCGGAACTTGTCGAGGTGAAAAAGGCCATGGAAGACAAGGAGGATGACCTTAAGAAGTTGAGGAGTCATGTCCATGACCTAAGGGAGGTGAGGGAGAAGGCAAAGAAAGCTATAGAGGAGGTTGAGGTGAGAGCGGCTCGGGCAAAAAAAGAGGTCGTTGCCAAGTACAAGGCTTCGAAGGCTTTTCTACTAGAATTAGATGACTATGCTATTGAATCTTAGCAAGGCGACTTCGAATGCTACAAGAGGAAGGTCATGCAGTTATTCTCCGAGATCACTCCCATGGTGGAGGAGTTTGTCTATTCAACCTTGAGGAGGCAACTAAGGAGGGCCAATCAGTCGGGGCCATTATGCCGCTAGAGACCCAAGAACGTACCCAAGACCCTCCACTAAGGATTGAAATCTGTTGAAGTGTCTCTCTTCTGAACTGTAATGTTGGTTTTTGTACAGCTCTAGATGTCGAGCTTAAATACTTGTGAAAAAATCTCTTATTAAATGAAAGTTGACTCATCACCTTTGGGTCAATTGAGACCCTCTCTAGAGGTTCATTAAACCAGTTGCCTGGACAATTCTCGGGCCAAATGGTCCTACCGTTTGGGTCAACTGGGAGTTCTCGATGTGAAACAAATGACATATATGAAGTAGAGCTTAGAACTATCACTATATGATCGTATTCTTTTATATGAGATGTTTTACTGAAGCAATATTTAAAAAACGAACACATGATAATCTCTTTTAAATTTTTATATGAGTTTTAATTGCAAGTTTTTTATTAAAAAATCATTGTCTTTTTTAATATAACAAATAGCAATGTTATAATTCCAATCTTCCATTACAAAACAGGGGCACCTCCGCTATATATATATAGAAAAGGTGCCATCATCGACAAATACAAATAAAATCATGCTCTCAATCCAAAGATCAAAGGCTTCATCTATGATCTACCCACCCCGTCGATCCAACTTAACTCGCATTTCATTTCCCGCAACAAAAAGAAAAAAAAAAAAAGGAAAATAAGAATGAGCCATGCTGATGTACTAAAAATGAAAAGGAATGGATGGTCAGGATCATCGATCATGCAATGAGTGTTTTCATTCATTGCTAGCCCATGGACCATGGACCATGGTCATAGGCGATCCCGTTGGTCCAAGTGCCTACTAGGTAGGGCTAGGCTAGAGGCCCATCACCATAGAATTCAAAGATTCACGCACGGATTGGCATTCACCATAGAAATCTGATTGGATGATGTTTTTAATCGTACGAAGATTGGATATGTGTCGTGTCGTATCAACTCACATGTTCATGCTAATGCTAATAATGGGGCATTCATTAGAATTTAGAGGGTGGGTGGGGGGTGGGTTATGGGTAAATTGCGATGCGACTGACCGTGAAACAAAGCTTCTCCGTCCCTGACGTGGGGGTCGTCTCACTGAATCGAAATCCAAGAACCAATCATCCTTTCTATTTTTTTCTCTCTACTGACTCGTTCAATGACTTATGACTTTGGTCGTCACCGCACAGGAAAAACCAACCTCAACCTGGCGACCTCGCCACTCGCCCACCTTATTGCACGAGAGAGAGAGAGAGAGAGAGAGAGAGAGTATTCAATTCCCTTCACAAAACTAAACTAAAACCAAAACCAAACAGGGAAAAGAGATAATAATTAAACCACGACATCAACAACAAGTTCTGGCTTTGGCCTGCGACTGCGAGAGAGACAACTTATTCTCTTTCTCTTTCTCTTCTTCTGTATCATTCATTGTTCATGCAAAGCTAGAGGCCGGGATAGTTTATATCCGGCCAAGCATCTGAGCTTCTGATTCAGGCAATGTCAACCAACACCTCCATCCGCCAACGCCCACCAGAAGTTTACAATTCGCCTTCACTAACACTAACTCTGGCCATTGTCCTCCTAATCTTCTTCCTCGTTGGTTTCTTCACTGTATATCTCTGCAAGTGCTTCATGGAATACATATCCAACGCAACATCCTCTCTACGCCGTACCCCATCCGGCAATCTCATCGTCCTTCAGACGGACACTACTGCTATCGGCCTTGACCCTTCCATTATCTCTTCGTTCCCCACATTTGTATACTCCGCCGTGAAAGAACTTCGACAGGACCACAAGTGTGGACTAGAATGCGCCGTCTGCTTAGCAGAGTTCCAACCTGATGATTTGCTTCGACTCTTGACCGCATGTAACCATGTTTTTCATTCAGATTGCATCGACCTCTGGCTTGGCAACCACACCACCTGCCCCGTCTGCCGCAGGAATCTTTATCCTTTCCACAAGTCACCCGAAAAGCAACCGGAGGCCAATTTGACGGCATTGACACAACGGGATGATACAAGAGAAGAGGATGGGGATTGGGATAGGGAGCAGGAGGAGGAAGAGGACGAGAGAGGACGAAGCCATGAAAGTGCAAGTGCTAGCATGATCATCACCCAACAAGCTGTAGCTGGAGGCCATGAAACGGTTGAGAAATTTTCAAGGTCCCACACAACAGGGCACTCCATCATACATATTGAAGAGGACGACGATAGGTTTACGTTGAGATTGCCGGAGATTGTAAAAGAGCACCTTGCAAGAGGTCATAATTGGACGGGAAGTTGCACTGAATTTGGGGATTTCTCAGCTGATGCCCATTCAGAAATAGGTGGCTTGGCCCAATTCTCACAACTTTCCAGGGGAGACATATCTAGGGTATAATCAAATTATGAATTATCCTAGCTAGTTCTAGTTGTAGATTAATTCAAAATTTTGACCAATTTGAGAACGGCACCAGGGTTTTTCTTTTTGGATAAATTCGAATACCCCTATAATTTCTCTCTCTCTCGATAGAAAGTAAGATAGGAAAAGAAGGTTAAGAAAACTTTCCGTTAATTTCTCTCTTATTTTCTGTTCAAATCCAAACATAAACTCCAAAAAAAATACTTCTAAATCATGATGTTCTACTTCTAACCAAAGATTTAGAACATCATAATAGAGCCTCAAAAGCAGTCAATTAATTTATCTTTAAATTCCAAGTGAGGTTTTCACATATACAGGACATGGAGGTGGAGTGGAAAGGTAGATTGCAGTGCATTTTTATTTGCACTAGTACAAACGCATAGGAGAGCAAATAAATTGTTTAATTTTGTTTTGGATTTTAATTTATTCTGATTCAGGTCTTCTATATTTCATTTATACGGCAATCAAACAAAATAAGGTAAATTTTAAAATAAAAATTAAACCGGAATTTGCACCCAAATCATTTGGGCTACCATAGTTAGTATCAGTGCAAATTTATTTATACTGCAACCAAACGCAGCCTAAAATACAGTCCATTTAGTTTGCTATTCTAAATTTCTAATCCTCAAATTGATATGTATGTGGTCTCCTAAGTTTCAACCAATTTTGGCCATCCAAATAATTAATACATCAAATCAACACAAGAATTATGCTATCAAATTGGTCTTTTAAAACTAACAAATTAATCTTGACCACACAAATAATATGTTAAAGAGTTCAATTGATATCGGCCCATCAGCCATTCAACTAGGGAATGGTATGTACATACATTACATGAACGTATGTATGTATGTCAGGATTTTGTCTAATTTAGCCATCCAGATGATGTACTACCTAGGCCATCAAGGTGTTCTCTTATTTCATCCAAGTGATGTACGGAGACTAATCTAAACCAAATAACGAATGATTTTTTAAGAGCAATGAATTAATCTTAGCCATCCAAGTGATTTACACTGATTTCAACAAATATCACATTAAAGTATTGCACAAAAAATCTAAAGTATTCAGGCCATGTAAATTGACATACCAAATCAAACATAAGATTTGAGCAACCAAAATGGCATTCTAAGATCAATCAGTTGATCTCAACCATCCAATTGACTTGTCAAGTTCTAGAATATTTTAGATTGCATTGCAGCAAGAATCATCATACATTTTTTGGATGCAAGGTTCAAAGTATCGATACATTATGTCTAGGGGTGGCAATGATTTGAGCTTTTCACGAGTTGCTCGAGCTCGCCTCGTGAAAAGCTTGGCTCAGCTCAGTTTCAACCGAGCTCGAGCTCGAACCTATTAGAGCTCGGCTTGTGAGGCTCGCGAGCCGGCTCGAATATATATACGTAATATATAATATATATAATAAAATTATAGAAAATAATATATACAATAAAAATATTATAATTATTAATTATTATAATTCTTAATTTTTAAATTTAAAATAAAAAAAAATTTATATATAATTTTAATTTTTATAAAATATTTTTTTCTCAAAATCGAGCTCGAGCCGAGCCGAGCACGAGCTTATGAACTTTTGACTAGAGCCGAGCTCGAGCTTAAGGTTCTGGCTCGAATCGAGCTCGAGCTCGAGCCTTGTAGAATAGTCTCGAACCGAGCTCAAGCCTGGTACTATTCGGCTCGGTTCGGCTCAAATCCACCCCTAGTTATGCCCCATATCAAGCATGTCATATCGCATCTTTGGCCCATTGATATGTTAATAAGTCTTATTATTTTATTATTTATCTAATGGAATTGTCTATGACGTCTCTAACATCATCACTTTTGTGTTTAATGTGGCATTTTCCCCATAGTTTCAATGCAAAAATGGCTCTTTACAATCTTTAGAGTCAAAAGTGGCTTTTTCACAAAGTTCAAGGGTTGGCAGAGCTAAAAGTCTTGTTTCTTTCTCATAAACATAAATTTAAGGTTTCATTGGGTTTTTCTTAATTTATTAGGAAAAGGAGTGGATAATTTTTATATCTTAAGATAAAGAGATACACTCATGTTAGTGAGATGAAAGAAGAATTTAAAGGGTTTAAGAGATGAAAGTATATTTGGGTCAATTAGGGTTTAAGAGAAAACGGTTAAAGGGTTAGGAAATGAAAACAAGGAAAGTTTACATGGGTATTAAGTATTTTAATAATTTAATGCATTCCATCATCTGATTTTAATAGTCAGAGTAGCCATTCCTCGTTGTTCATAAATGTTTTTTTTTGGTGAAAAACTTAGGCTCAGTTTGAAAGGAGTACAAATATAAATATGTAGAATGCAAAACCTTGTATTTTGTATTATTTTGTGTAAACGATAATGCGCATACATGCATGGCGTATGCACGTCTGGTGTTTGCGAGTGGAACTCCTTCTTCTCCTCTATCATGTTGTAGAGTACCTCTCCAACTCACATTGTAATTAATTACCTCTTCTATTGTACTTCTCCCTTGTAGATAATCCTCATCTCTGTAGATTACTTTGTAAAGCATAAACTTATCCTAGTGAGATAAGCTCTATCCTAGTTAGGTTTCATCTAACCTATCCTAATCAAGATAGGACTTACTTATCTTTTTACTCTATAAATATCATTAATCAAAGTCGAACAAATCAATTCGACCATTATTCTCATATGGTATCAGAGCCATAAACAATTCTCTATTTTTCTTTTCTTCTTCAAGTTTCTTTCGTCATGTCTTCCAGCATGTCTTCTAGTTCGATCAATCAAATCAACTTTGGAGCATCAAGGAATCACATTCCTCAGTTGATTTTGGTACGGTTGGATGGTTCTAACTATATTGTATGGCGTTTTCATGTTGAAAATGCCCTTCTAAGCCATGAGCTCCTCGGCTATGTCCATGGGACAAACCCTAGTCCATCTCGCTCGATGACAGAACCCTACACACAATGGGTTAAGCAGGATTGTTATATTTTCAGATGGTTGTTGTCCTCTCTGACGGAAACAACCCTGGCGCAAGTCATGGGAAGCAAAACCAGCAAGGATGTTTGGGAAACCCTTGAGAGTTTCTATTCTCCTCGAGGAATAGCTAGTGTCGTTGGCCTCAGAAATGAACTCAGCGCACTGCGAAAGAATGATCTCTCCATGACCACCTATCTGCAAAATCTCAAGGTGCTTGGTGACAAACTCGTCGCAAATGGAGAACCTTTGACAAATTTGCAGCTGATTCATCATGCCCTCAATGGTCTCTGTCCAAACTATGATGCTTTCTCTACAGCTATCATTACCCGGACAGATGAGTTATCATTTGCTAGCTTACAAGGTATGCTTCACACTCATGAAAACTGTTTGCTTCATTCCGTAACTACACAGGCTACCTCTCCTTCTACAAATCTTTCCTCCAAAGGGAAAGATTCCAAGAAATATAATAAAGTTGATCTACCTCAATCGAGTAATGGCTCCACCAAGCCCTCGAAATATAGCAATAATCCCTGCCAAATTTGTGGAGAACGAAATCATTCTGCTAGGTACTATTGAAAATTACTTGCACATATTGACAGTTTGAAGAACCCTAAACGACCACAACCCCTAGCATTTACGGTTGCTTCCGGCGGCAATAAGCAGAATACAGATATTTGGTTTCCTGATTCTAGAGCGACGCATCATCTCACTTCAGATTTTAATAAACTACAAATCCATTCTGACTATGATGGATCTGATCAAGTCTCTATTGGGGATGGTTCAAGTTTGCAAATTGCTCATTCTGGCTCTTCTACTGTTTCTACTTTATCTTCTAGATCATTGCTTATGAATAATATTCTGCATGTTCCCCAGATCTCCTTCAATCTCTTATCTATGGCTCGGTTTGCTACTGATAATAATGTCTACTTTGAATTTCATCCTGATGAATTTTTTATGAAGGATCGACACACCGGGATGATAATTCTTCAAGGGCCGAATAAGGAAGGTTTACTAGGTTGCATAAATTTCTTCTCTCTCTCGGTTTTCTTGAATCCCGGGCTGATGCCTCCCTTTTTATATCTCATTTTGGTTCTGACATTATTTTAATTCTTATTTATGTGGATGATATTATCATTACAGGCTCATCTTCATTTGCCACTAACACCCTCATTCAGAATCTTGCCTTTCAGTTTTCTCTTCATTATTTGGGCTTTGCACATTATTTTCTTGGTGTTGAACTTCATAGATCCTCACATGGTCTTCATCTCTCTCAACACAAGTATATTGATGATCTTCTGTATCAAGCACAACTTCATGATGCCAAACCTCTCTCCACTCCTATGTCTGCCTCCGCTCGTCTCACCAAGCCAAAGGGTGAACCGCTTACTGATCCCACTTTCTTCCATAGCATTGTTTGCACTCTTCAATACATTACTATTACTCGTCCAGAAATTGCCTTTGTTGTAAATAAGGTATGTCAGTTCATGCAATCTCCTACTACAGTTTACTGGGCAGATGCAAAAAAGATTCTTCACTATCTAAAAGGTACAATCACTTATGGCTTGTTTCTTCAACCATGTCGTGCCTTCTCTTTTGTTGCTTACTCTGATGTTAATTGGGGAAGTTGTCTTATGGATATTGTGTATTTCTTGGTCCTAACTTAATTTCCTGGAGTTCTAAAAGGCAACCTACATTGGCACGATCCAGCACTGAATCAGAATATCGCGACTTATCCTTTGCTACTGCAGAAGTTTTATGGCTTCACATGCTCCTCCAAGAATTAGGTGTCTCCCTCTCTACGACTCCTTTGATATGGTGTGACAACATGGGAGCTAAATTTCTTGCTAACAACCCTGCACTTCATTCTTGCTCCAAACACATCGAGTTGGATATTCACTTCATTCGAGAGAAAGTTGCAGCTAAGCTCCTTGATGTACAATACATACCCTCGGTGGATCAGATTGCAGATATTCTCACTAAACCTCTTGGTCTTCCACAATTTGAGATCCTTCGTCACAAGCTCACCATGGCTCTTGTGGCTGTGCTTGAGGGCGGTGTAAACGATAATGCGCATATGTGCATGGCGCATGCACGTACTTCTACAAGTGTAACTCCTTCTCCTCTATCATGTTGTAGACTCCCTCTCCAACTCACATTGTAATTACCTCTTCTATTGTACTTCTCCCTTGTAGATAATCCTCATCTCTATAGATTATTTTGTAAAGGATAAACTTATCCTAGCGAGATAAGCTCTATCCTAGTTAGGTTTCATCTAATGTATCCTAATCAAGATAGTACTTACTTATCTTTGTACTCTATAAATATCATTAATCAATGTTGAAAAAATCAATTCGACCATTATTATCATATTTTGTATGTATTTGCACTATACAAAATTGTATTTGTCCTTCTTTCAAACTGAGCATTAGGTGTTTAGTATTGCATAGTAAAGTCAGGTTCTGATGAGGCCGTGGGGCCGAGCCCGGCAGCAGGTTAGAGCAGGTGTTCGGCATTGAAGAGCCGAGTCTCCAAACATCTATCCTAGCAGAAAACTTGGGAGTTTTAGCTGAAAGAATGTGGAGCAATCGAGGGAGATCCCTTGGATATTAAATAATGCAAGACAATATCATTCATTGTAGGCAAAACCCAAGGGATCTCTGGGTTCAAATGGCGGAGCAATCAAGCATCTGTGAAACAGAATCTGCAACTGCAAGCTAAGAAGGACATTTTTTGAATCAATAATCCAATCTCCTTGTATATAGTCGCATGTCCTCCATCAATGAGACAGTAGGGCTCATATATAGTTGTAGTTTAAATATTAATAATCAGAATATCTATCTATCTATCGATATATATAATACTGTGATACATAATCATCAGATTAATTAAGAAGAAAAACCAAAGGATCTACGGCACATAGGAGATGGCACAGCATTGAACGTGCCCATATATACAAAATTGTACACTATAAGATGTATGTCCAAGTAGTTGAACCATCAAAATGGTTTTCATGTGCCTGAACAAAGTTTCTGCTCTCCGCCATTAATTTCATTACTGCTGGGACTCTTTATTATCTACCTAGCTAGCTATAAGTTGGGGCAGTATATATGTATATTAATAGATGATAAATTAAAGTATGCTTTGGTAAAGGGATAGCTGCTATCAGTAGTTACAAAAGAAACAAGAGGAAATTTTGTTAACAAGGGAGCTAAACTTAGAGCTAGAGGGTGGTTGTGGCCCGTGTCCAGTAGGAGTAGCCATCACCACAATCTCATCAGATTCATTTACCCCGTTCTTCATGGCGGTCCCACATCCTTCTAAGAATTTCTTTAAGGCGTCTTCAACATAATTGCAAGCGGCTGCAGCATTCATGTTCTCTACTAGCTTCACTGGATAGATATCTTTGGTATGGTCCCCATTCAGTGCAGCTGCCAACTGCACCAACTCCTCTTGAAACTCACTCAGCTTTGCATCTTCGTTCCCACTAACAGATCGCAATTTTACTGAGTTCGGTAGAGTTTCTGTAATTCGCTTCATCAATTACATGTCAGAATAGAGAGAGAGAGAGAGAGAGAGAGAGAGAGAGATCACCTGGGCAGTCTGTTCTTGGACTTTCCCTCGTTAGGACAATATCAAGTGTTCCAGCCCATGCATCACGCTTTGTTAGAAACTCTTTCAGGTTGAAAATCTTCTTCACTGTCGCTGGAATGGAGGAGTGCTCAAACTCGGATGAAGGATATGGTCCTGAAGGCCTGTGTAGAACTGCAATTTTTACATGGAAAAGATGGAGGAGCTTAATTAATTAGATTGTTCTCTACTCTAATGCTAGCTATATATAATTAAAATTCTTACTTTCCGTGCATGAAATTAATTAAAGCAACAATATGTGTATACCCATTCCTCGCTCAATCCATGGAGAAATCAAGATGGTAGGGACCCGAACACCAAGGCGATCAAACTTAAACTTGAACGAATCATCACTCACAATGTCATCTGGGCTTGGAACTCCAGTAGGAGTTGGGACATGATCATAGAACCCACCATGCTCATCATATGTGATGATGAATAAGATTTCATTCCACTGGGGACTTGCTCTCAGTGCCTCGTATACTTCCTTCACCAATTTTTGTCCTTGAGAGATATCGTGTGAGGGGTGATCATCATTTCCTGGCATTGATTTTGTTTCAAAATATCGTGGTTCAATCACTACATAGTTAGGCAACTTCCCCTGCTCACAGTGCTTCTTGAATTCTACGTCATAAGGATAGAAATTCTTTATGTATTTCAATCTCCTAAGGCTCCTGTGGATAATTTAATTTAACCATCATTATTTTAAAACTATGAAATTTGATTCTCCGTGCAAAGGCATAAGAATTAATCATCTAGATTATTTGCACTCTAGAAATGTCAAAAAGGTTTATAAATAATAAAGGTGTGTGATATCCTCATATCCATTTGAGAAAGAAGGAAAATAAAAGGAAAGACTAACACATATACAACCAAAATATGTTTTCTATGTTTTGGTTTTTAAACTAAAACTAAATGGTTTTGACCTTTTATTATTTGAACCTGCACCAAGAAAAACAATTTACATTGAGGCCATTGAGGCTCAGTTTGGAAAGATTATAAACTAATACAAATATGTACAGTGCAAATACATATTTGTATTTGGACCAGTTCAATTCAATGTTTGGACCATCCAATCTGTTCAAATTCATTTTGATTTAGATTGGTTTCAACTTAAACCCGGTCCATCAACACTTATTTTCTTATCTTATATCAATGGGCCAGATATTGGCTTAATCCAACCCAATCCAATAGAAATTTATTATAGATGGGCCAGTTCCAATTCAATCTAATAAATATTTTGGACCAGATTGGTCGGTCCAATCCGTCCAAATTAATTTTGAACTGGACAGTGTCCAATCCAAAATTGGTCCATTGACACCCTTAGATACACCCCTTCCATCAATTTTTCAGAAGTTACCTTTGATTTGATAGAAAATAAGAGAAATAGAAAATTGAGGATGCCCTTTTTAAAATCTCGTTTTTATCCATAGGAAACTTTTACTGGAATAAATGCTTACCAAATTACCCCCAAAAAGGTGATATGCATTATTTTGAGTTTCATTTTTTCACTTCATCAAATGAACAACAAAGGTTGAGTTGGGATTGAACTTAAACCTCCTCTATTAATAGAAATGCCATACTTAAGACAATTAAAGAGTGAACAATCAAGTGTTTAATTATAATATCAATGTGTTATAAAATAGTTGACAGAAGGGGATGCATTTGCATGTTTATTTGTAACAGAAAGGATGGTTTTAAGTATTTATTAGACAACATATGGGAGGTTTATTAAGTCAAAAAATTACCCTTTGAAAACATTATACATATATATATATATATATATGCTTTGTTATTTTTAACTTTGTCTTGTTTTATTATAACTAAATTATATGCCCTCTCCTCCATTAGGAATTATTACATAAGTTTTAAAATAGAAAAAAATAATGTTTCTCATCTGAAGTGTATCATGTGGGGTTTCTGGTTCTTACAAAAATTCTATACATTATCCCCACATGTCCACTTACAAAGTACTAGTGAGATTTTAGGTGGCACCGACACCGTGGCAACGAAGTTTGGTTGGGCTAAGCATTGAGTACGTACGAGGGAACTTAGTCAGGTCCAAACCCAGACTGACCCACCTTTTGTTACAAATATAAGCCCAGACAAAATTTGCATTTCAGAGCAATGCCGGGCAACCGGACTCAAAGGGTTTGGCTAAGACCAAAAAATGAAACTTCATTCCAATACCAAAAGACTTAAACTAATTAGTGATTTAGGGCCGTCTAACAATGGCTGAAGTTGCTAAAAATTAACTCTTATTGTTTTATATTTTAGTGGATAAAATAATTTAGTAATAAAATATTAATGGTATAGCCCAATTATATCTCAGCTGTATCCCATTAAGGCTATGTTTGGTTTGAAGGAAAAGGTAGGGAAAAGAAGGGAAAGACAGGGAAACCAATACAAGGGTTGTAAAGGTTTTACTAAGTTTCCCTTACTTTCCCTACATTTTTCTTCAAACCAAACATAGCCTAAGGGAGACACAATCTCCTTATTAAAAATTTATTCACTAAAAGACAAAGCAATACAATTTTTACTAGATTCGTTAAGGGTCTATTCAGTTCACAAAAATGGGAATGGGATTGGAATCAGATTTACCTGTAATGGATTTTCATTGAAAAGAGAAAGGGAGAGAATGATCGTTTGAGGGAATGTCATTTCACCAGAAATGGGAATGGGATTCTGATTCCATGCATGTAGGAGTGTCATTAGGACTGGATTTGGTCCAATCCGGTCCAGTCCAATGTGAGTTCATTACAAATGGACCTGGTCCAATCCAATCCAATGAATATTTTGGACGGGTCTAGAGACTGTCCAATCTGCTCAAATTCCTATTAATTTAGATTGGTTTCAACTCAAACCTGGTCCATTGACACCTATGTTCGTATCTTCTATCAATCGATCAGATATTGGCTCAATCCAATACAAATTCATTATGGACGGACCAACTGACCAAGTCCAATCCAATATGTCATATTGGTCCATCCAGTCCATCCAAATTCAATGTCTTATTGGTCCATCCAATCCATTCATATGGATTTTGATTTGGACGGAATCCAACCCAAAACCAATCCATTGACACCCCTACATGCATCCAGTCAAATGGTTGGAATCGGAATTCAATTCCAGACCCCCATTCCTACAGACCAAATAATGGACCTAAAAACCTATTCAGTAAAAGATAAAGCATTAAAATTTTTATAAGATTGAGCCACATCAGCTGTCATCAAATGCCCAAATGGCCCCTTAGCCACCAAACTAGTCATATGAAACAATATAGTATATATGAATGCTTATAATTAGATTGCTTACACACTCATGTTTTAATCATGCATGCCCTGCTATATATAATTGATAAATGCATTTCTAGTGATGTGTCTTTATGATTCTGGTCGGGCCAGAATCAGGCCAAACCAGCTGCTGGCTGGACCTGTAGAAATGATGATATATATATATATTGTCATGTGTAACATAATAACAAGGGAATGAATTAAAAAATATCAAACTGTTGCTGAGATTAAATGGAGGGTTCTGATTTAAGGAGGGGGCATTGTGAAATTTGATAGTGAAAGATTATGATTGGATGATGATGGAGGACAATCAATTAACTGCAAGACTCATTATCTACGCGTAAAATGTTGGTACGTAGCTAGCTAGTGCAGTTTTGGTGAAGGAAGGGGGTGGACAATGCAGGGTCTTTCTGCGAAGGCACACACAAAGTCACACTCACAGCCAATGGGAGATAGTGATAATGTGATATATACATTCCAAATGTCAACACCATATTAATTATGACTTGAAAGCCTATATACATGACAATGCATGCAGAGGCTGCAGCAGCACCGGATGGTTTGAGGTATACGAAAGGGGTTGAGTATTGAGTATGGCATTCCTCTAATCCTCTTCCTTTCCCTCTCCATGAATAAACCCACCTCATATTTTGTAGTGTCTATAAATATAATAGCAAATGGTGATGGTCAGACACAGCCCCATCGGAGGGCTGTTCGTCTCTAGCTATTTGCACTAGCTAATACCAACTTGTAAACACGTACACAAGGGTTGTTTGCAGGTCACCTGGACTCAAATAAAGTGTAGTGATATGTTTAAGCACACTCTAATCCCAATATATGCATGAAATTGGAATTCAAAACACTTAACTTTGATAAATGAATTACGGTTCCTTAACTTTGATAAAAGTGGAATTATTTTATCCTAATATCCCAATGGCCATTCCCTAAGATGGGGTGGAATGGGAATCAGAATCCCCTTCTGTCCAACCAAATGCTACTGAAATTGGAATTTCATACCACATACCAGCTGCATGGCAAGTTACTTCAATAATTTTCTCGCCCCTAAGCCTGACATCCACAGTAGTCGAGGAGAAATTAATCAGCTACGCCCGTGGAAATAACTTCAGGTTAAACCGTTAAAGAGTTCTTCAATCTTGCTACGACAGTATATATATGTAATGGCTAAGTGCAGCGCAAATAAATTAAGTGCAGCGTATCCGGACTTATTGAGTTCTTCAATCTTGGGCCTTGACGCAGTGGAAAGGTTGCTTACCTGTAGAGAAGCGTGGAAGGAAGGTTGGCGTAATATATCCCAAAAGATAAACCGGCGTCATCCAAAGAATCGAATATGGTCTTCTGTGGGAACCCTTGGATCAGCTTCATAGTATCGTGACTGATATATCCGTGCGACGTTGCAGAGTGCACGAATAACCGGTTTGGCTGCGTTGAACTGGGAAGCGAGGCGAACCACCTATCACACACTGCAAACTGCGACACCAACTCCTTGTATACTGGTATTACTTCCGGCCTAAACCCATTCATCACCGTCTCCGACAACCCCTTCTCTACGCTCTCTGCCTGCTGTGCAAATCCGTTCATTGTCATCGCAACGCTGCCTGCTTTATTAACCGATGATGACTGCTGTCCCCATGGAACACCAAAAACCTGCTCGTAAATTGCCTGAAACGAGTGAGCAGGGTCGGGGTCGACGTACTCCGATTGGTTCCCAAAGTAAACCCGTTCCGAGTTGGGATCCTTTGCAGAGATCAAGTTGTATTCTTTCCCGGTGACACCATCTATTTCAGGGTTGACGGACTTCATCCACCCTAGCATGTGATCGAAGGAGCGGTTTTCTTGAACTAAAACCACAACGGTTTTGATGGGACATGAATTAACAGTGGAGGAGGCATCCGAAGGCATGGTTGTCACTTTGGCATTGAGTTTGGTCTGCTGTTTCTGAATGGGGAGACGAGCAATCTTTGAGGGTAGTTCGTTACACAAAGCAGCTAGCTGAGACATGGTGATGATCGATAGAGCAGAGATAAGGGAGGATGGGGGAGCAGAACGTCATGGTGAAGCGGATCGCATATATATAGTTACCGGGACAAAACTGCTCTAGTAGAGATTATGTTCAAACATATCTGCAGAGCGTCTTGGTGAAGGAATAAGACAACAACACAAAAAATCTTACACGAAGGATCGTTTGTATGGTGGAAGCTGCGTTTGTTATGTAGTAAGTGTGAATTGTGCGAGTTGCTTGTTGTGATAGGATAGCTGAGCATAGTTGTTTTGTATATATGGTGGAACAGAACTGACAAGCCATCGTCTATTCGTCTGCGGCCATGAGTCCATGACATGGGTAGTTGCGTAAGAAGATGTGAATTCTGACAAACTAAGTAGAATGGTTTTGGCATGGTTGTCTTCTTTTTAGTATTGTAGTTTTGCCTGGGCCTAGGCGTCGTGTCTGAGCTGAGAAGTTGCACCCCCTTCGCCTCTTCCCCTCCCTAGTCTTGCCTTGATTTCTTGTGTTGCGTATATATGCTACCAATTGGATTTTTGGATGCGACAAATGCGCATCTGAGAGGGAGCATTGATGATGTGGTGTGGTGTGGTGCGCCCCCATTTTTCAAAAACACTAGTAGGGAATCCGTGCGATTCACGGGAAAACTCAATGTCTAATTTGCCGGTAAAAATGATCAAAAGTATATATTGGTTCTTCATAAATTTTTAAAAGTATATATATTAAATTATTGACTTTTTAAATATATTAAATAATTTATTTTCTTTTCTAAATATATTATTTACAAAATTATACTAATTTATCTTTTATTTTTTAATATAAGTTAATTAATAATTTTTTTTCAAAAATTTTCCAATATTATATTAATTTATATTAATAACAGAAATAATTTATGTAATTATAGGTTCAAATTAACGTTTTCCTTTACCAATACTAATTTATCTTTAATAATTTAAAATAAAAATTACACAATTTTTAAATAATTTTTCAACATCTATCAAATGTAATAAAAATTCCCAAATTTCCAAATTATTCCAATAATTATTTACTATATTTTAAAGAAACTTTCCAAAATTACATTAATATATTTTTTTATTTTCTTCTCCAAAATTTTCCAAAATTATGATATTTTGTTTGCCAATTTGCAAACTCCACCAACTCTTTCCTAGAGCTATAATTGTTGAATTTATTTTYCAATTTTATAATTTTTAATTAATTTTAAATGACATTTATAAAGAAATTATTGGTTGAAAATTTTGTATATTCATTGATTTCTAGTAATTTTTATGGAAAATAACACAATTTAATTGTTAGTGTAGTAAAATTAATTTTAAGAAATTGTAACTATAGTAAAACATTTATTATAAATATTACTCTATTTAATTACTACACCAAAATTTCAATAATAATTATTAGTGTAATAATTATTTCGAAAAAAATAATTCATTAAACTACACCAACAATTATTATTGGAATTACAATTATTTCAAAATTACTGCAATTACAGTATTTTGAAAATAACAAATTTTACTATAATAATTAATGTAACTTAATAATTATTATTACACTAATAATAAATCTACACTAATAAAATTACATTAATAAATTTCCGAATGGAAAAAATGGAAGAATGAAATCAGGGTCCTTTGACGATAACATTGAGCCATTCTTATTTTTACTAATGGGTAAGATTTCCAAGTCCAACACACCTCCTAGTGTAAATCGAGCCTAGCCCGACTATGCTTCACTCTTATGTAAATGTGTAAAGTGGGTCGTGTCTGGCCCATGGGAGGCCCATGCAAAGTCCGGGCCATGTCGTGCTGGTCTGTGAGTCAACACGGGTTGTACTGCTCCTCCCGGTGAAAATTTTGGGGGTCGGCTCGGCATGGCCCACAGCCCAGGCTCGTGTAGGCCCATGCTGTACCATGGGCCTGGGCCGTGTCAGGCTGATGGGTGGCCCGCGCAAAGTGTGGGCCGTGTCGTGCTGGCCCACGAGTCGTCACAGGCCACGTTACTCTTCCTAGTGAAAAATTTGGGGGTCGGCTCGACATGGCCCATGGCCTAAGCTCGTTTAGGTCCATGCCGTACCATGGGCCTAGGCTAGGCCAAGTTGTAGGTCGGGCCATGGGCTACAGGACGGGGCTTGGGCCTGGGCTAAATCGAGCTAGACTGATTTTGACTTTTTTTGTTTTTTTTAATTTGAAAATTTTTATCTTTTCTAAGTAAAAGTGTAAAACTAAAATATTTAACTTTCCTTTGAGCATTGTGAACTATTTGAAAAATTAAGAAATGAGAAATGAGAAATCTAACACATAAATGAAAAAAATACTTAACCAAATAAGAATGATGGAATAACAAATTGGAAGAAAAATAGGAATTTTATTTCATTTATATTTGAATGATACAAATTACAAAGCATACAATATTACAATGGTTGGATACTTGGATGAATAAAATATGAAAATGGAATAAATTAATAAAATATAAAAATTACAATATAGTTACAAATTGAAAATACAAAATTACATTGTTAAAATAATAGCAAATAAATTAAATAAAATTAAAACAAAATTTACAATAATTTGAAAAAAAAATAAAAAATTCGATACAACTAGTCAACTATTGTTCATGAATCATGACTTTCATCATCTGTTTCAAGTGAAATATTCGTTTTAGTGTCATGCCCTCCTTTGTCTTGTAATCTATCTTTTGCATCCAGCCAATCCTTAAAGCAGATGCACATCTCTATACTTTCATCATTCATGCAGCTTCTCTTGTAATCCAACACCTGGGTACCTACACTAAACAAGACTTCGATAGAACTATAGACACTTGAGTACCTTCACTCCATCAAGCAAAAATATCAAAATTATTTGTTCCCTCACCTAACCTACAAAAGTTTGCTTCTAAATAAAAATTAAGTTTAGTAAACGTCATTGTCGTAGAAGTAGCAGATTTCTGCCTTCTAGTTATTAAATAAAAAAGTTTTTCTCTTTTACTACTGGGCTCAAGATCAGAAGTAGAAGATGCTGCACAAGTAGTAGGGTTATTTCCTACTACTTCAGATTCATATAAACTGTACATTTCAAATAATAAATTATTAATTTCTTCTTTTTCATTTTCAATTTCAATATTCATATTTTTACAATATGTTTCAAGTAAAATATCGAAACCATCTTTCCTAATCCTAGGATCTAATATTGTAGCTAAGCAATAAAGGGGAGAAATGTTCTTCCAATATTTTTTAAATTTATTTTCATTATTTCAACAATACATTTAAATTATGGATTATTTCTATAGTTTGCAAAAGAAATCACTAATCACCATTAATTGATAAGGTAAATTACAACTAGTTGGATAATAAATACCTGATAATTCATTAGTTGCATCATAAAAATGTTTTAAAAAACCTCTTATACAAACTGTCATTTCCTAGTCATCCTCAAAAACTATTGCATCATAAAAATTACAACTAGTTGGATAATAAATACCTGATAATTCATTAGTTGCATCATAAAAATGTTTTAATAAACCTCTTATACAAACTGTCATTTCCCAGTTATCCTCAAATATAATATCATTAGGCATTTTTGCATTATAAAAATTAGTAAGAATTTGTTTATGAGAAATACAACTTTCTAACATAGCATACACAGAATTCCATCTATGTTTAATATCAAATATAAAATGTTTATATTTAAAACCTTAATTTTGATAAATATTTAAATTCTTGTTTTCTTGCCCCTGAACATTTAATATATATATATATATATGAGTAGAAATAATATTTAAAGCATCCTAAATACATAAGTTTAAGATGTGACATGCACATCTGATATGAAATAATTTAACATTTAAACATGGTCTTAATTGATATTTTAAAATATTTATTGCAGAATCATTATTGTTGGCATTATCAAAGCTAATAGAAAATAATTTATTCTCAATTCCATATCATGTAAAGAATTTAAAATGCTTACAGCAATAGTTGGGTCAATATGTGGCCATTCAAGCCTAGTAAAACTTAAAATTCTTTTATTTAAAAGCTAATTTTCATCAATAAAATGGTCGGTAATACAAATATAACTTATATTAAATTTAGAAGTCCAAACATCAGAAGTAATTGTAACTTTAGAATTAGTATTTGATAACAAATCAATTAAATTATGTTTATATGAATAAAAAATTTTTAAAGCATCTCATCTAATAGTATTCCTAAAAACTTTTTTATATTGTGGATTTAAAGAATTATGTAACTATTTTTCAAGTTTAGTATCTTCAGCTAACAAAAGTGGTTGTTCTGCATGTACAATGTATTTTGCTAATTCTTGTCTCATTTTTTCTTGTGAATATTTAAGTGTACCAAAAACCCCCCTCCCAATTTGTGTTTGTGTTGTTTCTCTCCCTTCTTCTTCTTCTTCTACCTTCTCATGTGTGAGCAAATGTCTGCTCAAATGGCCAGTACAACCCGTGTTACAATAGCTAAAGTCTTTTCTACATTTTTAGTAAACTGCTCTTTTTCCCTTCCCCTCAACATACTCCACTTTAAATATTTTCCAAACTGAGTTACATAACTTACAGGCCTTCTTTATCTTTCCACTAGTATCAGTACCAGGGGTGAAAGTTCCATCAATATCAATAGCATTAGTGCTAACACTATCATGGCACGACTGAATATTGTCAACAATGAACATGTTGGGGAATTGGTTTTGGGAAGAGCCGGCCATTTTTTCTAATTCTAAAAAAATAAAAATTAATTTAATTGGACTTACCTGGATTGCCGATTCAGAATCTCAACCGTTCAACGATTAAAGCCTTTCAATGTCTAAGCCTCCCAAATTGCTAACTTGAGATACTTGAGCTAGTTGAGCAAGCTTTCTTCTTGTTGAAACTTCAATAAAGTTAAAAATTGGAGAATTAGACAATCAGTCAATCAGACTATCAAAATTCACTTAGATTGTAGAGAATGTATGTGAGAGAGAAAGAGAGAATGAATAATAGAATAGGGCTATTTATAGGAATTGAAAATAATTCAATTAC